TGAATATAGAGAACCAGAGACCCTTTTTACTGGAAATGAAGCATTCCATCTTAGTCCTCATGGGTGACAACGCATCTGCATTTTGATTCATAATTGAGGATAGATGTAGATGTCTATGGATCATAGCAACCACTTACCATCAGGTGGACTGTGTGCTCGTTTGTCACTCTATCCTATAAAAAAGGTATATTGTTAGTCCAAGATTACTTATTTTTATCACTGAAATATGACTCCACGATGTGAAGGCATATTAAGTTTTTCTTTACTTACAAAACAAGTATTTTGTTTCTAAGTTTCTTATTAAACAGTCAAATGCAGTAAGAATAAAATGCTGTTATAAAAAAAGCAAAAGTTCAAGTTTTATTGTAGTTAGAAACATCATGTTGTGGTAACCTCTAACTACTAACACACCTGTGCAAATTTAAAAAAGTAGCTTTAGTAGATTATATTATCATGAAGTCATAGTATAGGTAAATTCCTGAAATAACATTTTAATACCACATGCAAAGACAATATAGTGTTTCAATGAAAGGAGACTTCGAAAATGACATCCTTATGCTAAATTGTTGCGAAAGCTAAACTGACCTGTGATTGCACCATCAAAACGACTAATACGGTTATAGATTTATTATCAATCTTGATGAGGCTGCCGAAAGATTATTGTGCGATCACGGGGAACGCCACACCGCCAGCGCTCACACCTCTACTCACGTAAGGTCAGATCGTGAGACAAAAAACATATTTTCACTGCCAACTAGCCAGATTTTCAGATCGTAGGCTCAACCTGACTAAATTCTATAGGAAAGGTCACGCGTGGCACAATTCCATACTTTCACATTGCAAAACATTTGGCACTAGGGACGGAGGGACGAGCGCTGGCGACGTCAGTGGCCCCGTACACCGCACTCGAATAGCTCACGTATCCACATAGACACTTTTTATTTAAATATTGCGAGATATAAGGTGATTTCTGTTCACTTCGAGCTGTTTTACTTCATAATATCATCAAAAAGCGATAGGAATTTCCAAGGCAACCTCCCAAGAAGCTAAATCGTAACTTGAATCGAGTGACACAGGCCTGTGCAGGACGTTTCCGTATCTCCGACTTACTTATCGGATTTATGATCTTCAAAATCAGCAAACTTACATTGTAATTGTTATCCAACGCATTCAGAAGTCGATTACTTAGATCATGAGCGTTATTACTCATTTATAAACGAAAATATTTAACTAAATACGACGAACGTGTCTCGGCTGCGTCGTAATGGCGGACCGACGACTACGTATGCCCGTGCCAGGGCATTTTAGCCGAATAATTCAGCTGATATCTACTAAGGCGACGCACACTCGTATTTTTCCGTTTCTTTTGACGGTGAAAACTTCAAATTGCCATCTTTTCCTCACTAGAGGGCGGTGAATGTGAAACTTTATATTAAAATATAATTTATAATCTAACAATAATAGTCGTACTAAGATTAAGTGAAAAACATCAATAAACAACGTAGATTTGATTATTAATAAAAAGTTTTATCAGACGTACAATAAAAAGCGAAACATTCAAAACTTGTAACACTTACTTACAATTTCCTATGATATATTTGCAATTTCCAACTATAATGGTAACTTTGAAGTTAAAGTTTAATGTTTTCCAAACAGATGGCTCTATCCTTTATTCATATAAGAGTACGCTATATTATTTTTTCTCGCTCCTTCTAAAACCTTACCAGGTAAAAGGGAAACTACCTACCGATAAAAGTGATTTTTCATTTTAAAGGCTATAAAAAATTGATTCTTCGTCTTGTTTAACAGTAATTAAATTTAAGTTTAATTATTTTTCAACATATCAACTGTTTAAGTCAAGATAAAAAGTTTTTGATGTGGAAATGGATAATGGACACTTCTTATTAAAATTGAGAAGGAGTAAAAAAGCTTTACGTTGTTGTGCTATTTCAGGTTAGTAATAAATTAGAAGTAGAGGTTTTTGGCAGTTTTTAGTTGCGGTGCCTGCGGTACTAGGGTTCCGTAGTTTTTTATTTTTATGGAATGGGTGTGACAAACGAGAACACAGTACACCTGATGGTAAGTGGATGATGTGGCCCATAGACATTGAAATTTATCTTCGATTAAGAATCCAAATGCAGATGCGTTGGAACCCCTGAGGACTACGATGGAATGCCTCGTTTTCAGTAAAAAGGGTCTCCGGTTCCCTACACTCACCATACGAAACACGCTTAACCTGCAATTTTACGCTGGTATTATGTGAGAGCGAGGTCCTTCCCCGGTCAAGCCGACCCATTCGTGCACAAGCGTAATGTAGCTGCAGCGTGGCTCTACCACGTAGTTGCCTGTCACAATACGTAAACTTAGAAGGGGTCTTCTATCTAGACGAGTATCTTCTACGAGTATATTAAGCAAGTTCGCAGTATGACCAATATAACGACTAAAATTGGGTCCAAATAGGACGATGGTAACTAAAGGACAAATTTTTCAAACAGGGAGTGATATTCAAAAAAGATTAAAATATCGATTTTGAAAATAATACAATCCAAATCAAATCAATCACATGCCAAGTCTGTATAAAAATGGTCATAATCCATATCCACCCATTAATTCTTGTCAGCGCAATCCTAAGATATATATGTACATGACCTTCGCGCGTAAACCACCACTGCCCTAAACTAACCAGAGGGTCGCTCGCGTTGGCCAGCCTCAACGGAGACTAGCCATTGGCGCTGGACATGATTATAGTGCCCAGGTGTATGCACAAGCACAGGTGCACTCTCTATTCCCTCACTTTCATAGTCCGATGGGACGATAAAGCGATACGACAGGAGAGAGATCAGGTGCAGGACCAACGGCTTTACGTACTGCCTCATTGGTCTAGTGGTTGTAGTTGTGCGAATACTGATCATGAGGTCCATGGTTGGAATCCCGGGTCGAGCAAAAAAGAACAGTTATTTAGTTTTTCCATGAAGAAATTCTTAGTAGTTTTCAATGTTTTGAACGTATGAGAGTCAGAGCGCCAGAAATACCGCGATATTCATTAAAGTAGTTGCAGCAATGCTAACGAAGTGACTTTGACGCTACCAACAAGTTATTTTTATTTCATGAAATTATCCCCTACAGCCTATTAAAAGTCCATGGTTGAACGTAGGCCTCTCTCATGTATTGACTCAAAGAGTGTATCGGATATCTTTCCTCTACTAATCGATCAGTTGTTTTGGATCGATCTAACAAATCGATTCCTTAACGCCAAGTAATCAATTAATCGATACCAGGAAGACATGCTTCAAAATTATAAAAAATGGTATATCTATACAAATAAATAAAATAAAAGTGTCTGTTTGTAATGTCAAAATAACAGGTTTTTACTAAACGCATATGTAACTATATACGATACTTATAACAAAAATAATTTTTTTAACATTTATGTCCGTCTGTCTGTTTGTTCCGGCTAATCTCCAAAATTACTGGACTGATTTTGATGGGACTTTCACTGGTAGATAGCTGATGTTATAAGAAGTAACTTAGATTACTATTATTTTAAAAAAATAATTAAGGTTAACTAAAAATTACACGTTGGCAAAGCCGCGGGAAACAGCTCGTCGAAAATAAATAACAGTTTAAAAATTTAAAAACCACTGTTTTGTAGATAACCGAACTAAAAAGTAGAAAATAATTTTCAATACGCTTAATAAATAGTGATTAACATAAAAAATCATTTTATTGTAAAAAAAAAAGCGTGGGGTAATATTTCAGATATTTTATGATAAATGTTAAATTACTTGTAGTAATTCACAAAAATATTTACAACAAATGACATCAATAACCCCACGCTTTTTTACAATAAAATTAATTTTTTAAGCTAATTACTACTTTCTTATATTAAAGTTATTGAAAATTATTTTCTACTTTTTAGTTCGGTTACCTACAAAACCGTGTTTTTTTACTGTTTTAAACTATTATTTATTTTCTATTTTTTAGTGCGACTAACTGCAAAAGCGTGTTTTTTTGCAACGAAGTTCTTCTACGCGGCTTACAGTAGATTGAACTGGCAGAAACCGTAGTTGTTTTATGAATTATTCGTAAATCCTGAGTATCATAGCAAGGATAATGGTACAAACTATTTAAATTATTGCATTTCCATTGGTCCTTGATAAGTGTTCGAAGTTTGAAATCAATCCGACATTTTGAAGGGGATAAAAATCACATTCAAAAACTCCGTTACATAGTTACATCCAAGCTAATAAAAGCATGTTAATAACGTCTTTCTACGTGAAACTCCTACGGCGTACATCACAGCTCTATTGTTTATCGAATAAGACAAAAATCACTTATGCCACGTTTAGATTACCAGACAAACAACAGGCCGAATAACTTACTGAGTTATTTGTGAACAAGTACAACGTGCTTACATATACGTCTGTATTCATTTAACGCAGATCTTTTAAACGATATACTTATGGATGACGTTGCTACAACTTTATGTTTACTTAATTTTTATAGAGTCACAAATATTTTAAACGAAAAAAGAAGAAAAGACGGTATATCTTTGTCTTACCCACGTTTATTTGAAGACCTTTCCGTTGGAAAACACAATTGAAGGAATTGAGCGATTTTACATGCGTAAGCATCATATTACTCTATGGATGTTACGTACAATAGCACTGACCTCTATATATACAATAGATATTACATATAAAAATGGATCGGGAAAAGCTACAATATGTGAAACTTTTTGTATGCGTGACTGTACTTGATTCAAAAAATGATTTCAGTACCATGCGTTATAAATTCTTGCATATCATTTGAAATAATTAATTAAATAAGCTTTAATGTTTATTAATTCGCGTTTTAACTTTCATTTTTTTCTTTACGTTATTTAAAACAAATTAATGCAGGGACAGTTTTCCGAACGTCTTTTTTGTAGTTATTGGCAAGCATTGCTTTATTATACTGGTAACATTGAGATAAGGCCATCTTTACATCTTTCAAAATGTAAAAGTGTCATTTTTCGATTGTGTGAAGTCGTGTGTCGTGTTATACTATGATGGAATAATTAAATCTAGTTTTGTGTTTTCTGCTTTCATTAAGCGACTTTCTTCGCTTATTACACGTGTGCGAATCCAACTGTGTAATGTTATAGTAGTGAGCAAGAAAATACAGTTAGTATGTGTTTATAAATGTCGATAATATCGGTTTATTTGTGTGTTATGTCGTGAAAGGGCGATGGATCGTCGGTGTTCACAATCTGTCCGGACGCTAGTATTTGACGATTCTGATTCTGACCTGCCGAAAAGTGGTCAGAAAAAGAATCTGTCCTCATCTGGAGTTCCCTCGTCGTTAAATCAAAGCGCTGAAGGTAAGATAAACAAAACCTGTATTTTTGTTGATGATCTATCAAATTAGAGCGCGGCAATATTTTGTAGTTTTTTCAAGGTTTGTCCGATTGTCAGTGTAAATTAAATTGCAGAGGCAATAATAAACGTTTGCTGCTTATTGGCTCCATACCAATATGATCGATTATGTACTAAATTTAATATTCAAACTGTCCATTATTATAGTCGATTTGGTATTGTATGAAGAATATAATGAATTGGTCAATTATTGTATTACCGTTTACTTTAAATCGACAGTTTTTATAGTAGTAGTTTTTAATTGTGGTAAAGTCATGCTATTGCTATTATATGGTTGTAGTGTTTATGTTTCGGCTTAAACGGGAAGAGTGCACTCTCATAGATTACCAGTATAAAATAGCAGCTTGTTGCTGCTATTAGTTGTATGGTGAGAGTAGAGAAATAAAGACCATTTTTAATGGATTCCAGCTTAAGATCTTTATACCCAGATCTATTTTAACTATGCAGTTGCAATGTCAACAAAAGATTTGGGGCATTTTAAAAATTATAAAATAAATAAAAACATCTAAATGTACATTTAGTTAATGCATATGTAGTAAATAAATTACAATTTAATGTATTTTTAAATTAACTTAGAGATTAAATGTTGAAAAAAATAAAAATACTAGCTGACTAGGCAGACATTGTTCTGCCCTTTCTAACGACCCTTCGAAACGAAAAGTATCCTATCTCTCAAGTTGGACCATACTGCACACAATGTCCAAAATTTCATTGAAATCAGTTCAATAGTTTAGGAGTTCATCGCGGACAAACAATGTGACACGTAATTTTTATATATAAAGATTAATAGGCAGCTGTAATATGTCAGATATATTTTCTTAACTAAATTCATTATACATAGGTTATTTCAGTATTGTTTACATTATATATACATACATAATATACAAAATTAAATACTTCTGATTATAAAGTTAATATTATATTTTTAGCTAATATTATTATAAATTATTTGATCAATGAATCATATCCCATTTAGAGGGAGTATTAAAAGAATCCACTACCAAATTATGTCATCCCGTGGCAGTCATAGAAGCAAATAGAGGGAAATAAAATAGGTATATTGCAGCTTCATCTTGTAAGTTCTTGTACTCCCCTTATTAATGTTAATTTAATATATACTGTTAACTTTACAGCTTATTAAAGAGCTGAACATGGGCCTTCTCATAGACGGCCTCATAGTGAAATATTTGCCATAGTTGCTAGGCTTAGCAAGCGAATCGGTAGCTGCAGTTTTTATTTTTAGCCATTATTAGGAAAACACTGCTGCCCATCTCCTGATTTGTTTCCCTCTGTTGTCTCTTATGACACCCACGGGAAGATATGGGGTAGTAGATATTCTTAAACCACAACTACTTGGTTATTTAATACCTACTACAACTAATAATGCTTCTACATTAAGTTTCATTAAAGGTTTATGGGTGGTTACTTATATTGTAAATTTATATTTATATTGTAAAATTTATTTAAAAAAAAGTCCCGCTGGGTTTCTTGCTGGTTCTTCCCAGGACAGAGGGTTTTTTTTCGAACCAGTGGTAAAGTAAAAAATGACTTTCAATAAGAATTACACATGTAATGTATATTGAATAAAAAATATTCTATTCTATTCATTAAGTTTCATTAAAGGTTTATGGGTGGTTACTTGGCATCACATGATTCTTGCTTGCAATCTGGTTGATAATTCATAATTAATAGGATCAGATGTTATGGTAGCCATACATGCTTACCATTTTACCTTTACAGTTTAACTGTACAGGTAAATAGGAGTGTGTATGTTGCATGACCGCCAAGTGTATGTCTCCTACTCAGCTCAAACTTATCTGACGGATGTAACTGTACAGGCAATTCTGACAGGTCCAACCTAGCATGTCTGGCTACCTGTACTTTGCGGAAACCCAATAAATTAAAGATGTTAAAATTAATTAGCTAACATCCAAATATAGTAAAAATAATGTGTCTTACCTAGTTTGTTTTACCTATGTTGAGAGAGGTCAGGAGGTGCTGTTCAAAGTTAAGTATAGTTTAAGTGGTGCAGATAGCTGTACTTTTTGATTAACAAGATTGTGTTGCTGTTGCACCAACAAAAATAGGAGTGTGGGAAAACTTTTTATTATTATAACTGGAACCTTTTGTTATACACCTCATATTTTTCTTAGCTTATTAATTCTTTATTTTTACAATATTGCGGTTGAGTCCCAATGATTGGTAATGTTTTTGGTTGGCTTATCATACAATAAATAAAAATTTGGTCATTAATACTTAGTTAAGTTACAAATGTAGAAATTATAAAATGCACATTTGGAAACCAAAAAAAAGTACATTATTATTAAAAACTACAACATAATGTACTGCAACATCACTTTTGTTTTTTTTTGTTTTTTGTACGCACAGTCTATTGATCCTATCAAACTTTGCATATTGAAGTTATTTATCTACATCATGTGCCATAATAAAACTCCAGTCGCTAAACTATTAAATATATTTTATTGATTTCTTTTTGTTTATCACAATAAAAAGGAAAATGTTGTATGTAGTCTTTGTTAAGTGGTGTGACACATTTATAAGAATGTATTCGTCCTTGTCAATTTTGAAAATATCAGATATATGTTATCTTCTATATTATATATATATATGAGATTTCCACTTATCGACACTCATCACAATATCTCTGGAACCATAAAGCCTAGAGACTTGAAATTTGGTAGGAATATTCCTTTCGCCGAGTAGAAGTCAGGTAAGAACAAAAATCAAAAAGATTTTACGAAATTATACATGGGCTATTGCAGGGGCGTTAATTATAAAAAATCACATTTTCACAAGGTCTTATAGGTATTAAACTTGGCCAGAATATTCTTTTTGGCATGTTAAAAATTACCAAGAATGGATTTTATGAAATTTCACCCACAAAGGGGGCAGTGTGGGGGCATTAAAAAAATAAAATGGCTGGATCGATTTTGATGAATTTTTTATGTGTATTTTAGTGGATCTCTGGATGATCTAAACTTATTACAATGGAACCCGGCAGGTGACGCTGTTGTCGAGATCCAGAAATTAACCGTGCGAAACCTGGGCGGGGATTGCTATTGTTTAATATACATGATACATATCCACTGCTATCCACATTCTACATCCTCAACATCTTCCATCTTTCGAATCAATGTATTGTCAAATCTTCACATACATTTACCATAGAGCATAACTTGAAAAGGAAAGTTAGGAAAGTATAACTTCTGTCCATTCAAATACAATGTGAGTTTCTTCAAGACTAAAGTTTATAAGCTTTTTTTAAGCTGAGGCTAGTTCACGTTGCCATCTTAGCTGCATCATCTCTTACTATCAGATGATATAGTAGTTAAACACTGGCTTATAATATTTAAAATGATCCTGTTATTATTTTCATCTGTGAAAATAACAATTTCTGAACATAGGATACTCCCAAGTTGAAAGGTTTTGTGAGGTTTTGTAAATCTCCACAAGATAAGCTGAGCAAGGTTTCAGAATGTTGATAGAAAGTTTTGACTGCTTCCAGTGCATATTTAACAAGTCCACAAATCCGACCTTAGTTGCAAGTTATGTCTTAAGAAATGTCCATGTACATATCTATAGAGTGGCACTATCTACACAAGCTTCATTATTATTATCATTACAACTTCATAAGTCGACTGCCCATAAGCCTTTCCCAAGAGATGCCACAAAGCATAGTTCTAAGCCACCTGCATCCATCAACATCCTGCATCTCTTACCAGGTTGCCACTGAGTGTATTTTATATCTACACATATGAAAGTTATCTTAAATAACTGCAATTTTGTGTGGTGTCATGCTTACTCAAATTATAGGAAATAGAAGATGAAACAAAGATTGCAATTGCACCTATGTGCTTTTAATATCAAAAAATGCAGTTTAATAACTTGTAACTTACATTGAATTTGTATAAAATCAATGCCTGAGCTATTTATTGATTTTTTTTTAAATTTATTTGAATTCTTCTACCCGCAGCAATGTGCAATCATCTTTTTGATCCAGGTTCAGCACAATTTATTGGTTGTAATTCAAAATTTGTGGGTGATTGGTGTTTTATGTTAAAAGTTCCAGCAAAAATATACATACTACCCTCTTTATTTAAACTTACAGACACTAGACATGATTCATTTATGTCATCGAATACAACATTTTTCATTACAAAGGATGGACTATCGTGTGGGTGAAAGAAGGAAAGGACTATCATGTGGTTGATTCACATACAAAAACTGGTTTTTCTTCTAGAAAAGATTCACAGTCACTGCCTTCAAGCCATCGGCTAGAAGTTAGTAACTAGATAAAGTACCTAATGTTAGATTTATAAATTGCCAGCCATTGTAACCAAAAATTACAAGAAAACATTTTCACAATATACATTTTTGGTATCAGGCATCCATACAACACCATTTAGATTTGTGTTTGTTCATGTTGGAGTTGCATTTTTTTCGTTTTGTTGACAGTAAATACCCTTAAACGTTAATGGTGTTGTGAATAATATTATTATAAAGTCTATCATGCAGAGAAACATAAGCATAGCCCTCTCCATAGCTTGCTCAGCAACCTTAACTTTCCTCATACTAAATTCTGAGTGCGTTGTGTACCTACTCCTTATGACTAAGATGGATTGCCTCATTTCCAGTAAAAATGCTTTCCGGTTCTCAACAATTTCCCATAGAAAGTTTATCTTTCTGCTACTGGAGGTGAACTCTGGTATTACTGCCTAGAGCAATGTTGTGGGCTCTTAGCGATGTGCGAATGTTAAAGATATTCAGCAGTGAAGGACCATGCCTCAGATCTATATGTTATCGATGGCAACATGCACTGGATGTACATTCTTGTTTTCAAGTTTTAAGGTATTTTACGTGAGGAGAAGATGTGTCGTAATCTCCCAAACGCTGCCCAGCCGAGTTTGATCTGTCAATATTTTTA